ATGATAATTTTCCGACGAAATTTGTAACACGGTCGAGATAAAATATTACCTGGTGTTTGCTTTGGCAGTCCGAGGCAGTTCGTTAGGGAAATTTTTATTTCAAACACGAAATTCAAACCGAAAAAAAAAAGAAAGTCCTTAGTGGTCTTTTCCTATTGGCAAATAAAACATTAGGTGTGAATTTTCAAGTCTAAAAACCGGGTGATATATTGAAAAAAATAATCGAAATTTGATAATGTACTTGATAATAAATTTGTGCATTTTCTTATGTTGTGAAACTCTTTGTATAATTTGTTTTATAGAAACATCAACCAGTTCTGAACAAACATTGCGAGTAAACAAACTTAAATCGACCGCTGTTGCTCTATAATATGTACATTTGCGAAGAAACCTAATTTAGCCTGTAAACCTGCGGGCTAACGTACAGACACAGACTGGTAGCGTTTTGTTACCAGCTAAACCGGCGCGGATGTTTTCCGAGGCAAAAATGAAATTGGATCAGAAATTATTCTAAAGTAAAAGGGCTTTCCGGAGCTCATTCCGTCTAATTTCGTTGCGAAAGCAAAAGATATTGCAGTCACTGTATGGTATATGAAAATTCGTTCAAAGCAACATCTGCGTGTGCCATGTTACAATGTTGTAAACCGTCATCAGGACCGGAGTTTCCATTGTGCATAATTTAATCTCTCGCGAATTATGTTCCTTTTGTCGCAATTAATAGAAGCGAATCGGATGTGTACCTGGGTTTATTAGAGGTCGAAACCGGTCCTGGATAGTCGCCCACAATTCCATTACCGGAATTAAATAGTTACCCGGACTGCCCTGCGTTTGAGGAGTAATTTCAAGGTAAACGAAGATAAAAGGGAGCATGCCCTTTGGAGTTTAGTTTGCCGAATTTTCCCAGGAATCAATTAGAAACTATTAAATTCGTAATATCGTTAATGAATATAATATGTTCTTGGTCATTTTCTCGTCTTTGCACAGCTTTTATTATTGCTATTTTGGATTGATGCGAACGCTCTGCAAATAATACCTGGAGTATTGATATTCGAATTGCAACCGAACCAAGTTACTCTTTTCAAGCCCGGATAAACATCAACCACAACAGTTAGATAAATGAGATAAATTGAAAAGTCTGAAATTGCTGCTTTTCTTGTAAAATGAGACGTGAATAAAGTTTCTTAAGCTTTGGAATTATTGAGAAAATATTATGAGAAGCACTCGTAAATAATTGTGAAATTAGAATAGCTTTTTAATTGGAATTGAAGCCCTATAAAATACTTACATGAAGTAGGAGTATTGACACTTCTTTAACATTTTAGGAAAATGCTATTGCTTGACTCAACTCCACATTAGCACCATTAAATTCATTAATGACCGGAAGATGCCTGGAATAATTTTCCTCGATGGTTTAATACGACTTTGAATAGCTAATACCATTACAATTGCAATTACTATACTGATCCGAAATAGTCCCCAATTCCACTAAGACGGGGACATTAGGCGAGTGTTCATCTTCATTTGCACCGATTCGTTCAGCATTTATAGCTCTAATTGTCCGAGAGCTCGTTAATGAGTCTCGAAGATTTCACCTTAGATTGCAGATTTCCGTTGAAGTGGCACGATAATATTACACTCGTTTCCTGTTTAATTAAAATTAAATTCGGAGATTTCGAAAATTAAACGTTTTTTTTTCCATAAGCCGATATCAAGTCATTATTTTTTTATGCGGGCTTTGCCTTTCGGCTCTTTATTAACTTTTAAGCTACGCATAACGAAAACAAACCGAAATATTGAATGTTTAAGAACGTTATGAGGGAAAAACAAACTTAATTAAGGGGATTTTTCGTTCAAAAATATAATATTTTTAACTTTTAATGCTTAAGTAAAAATGTAGCGTAACGGGCAAAAATAATATTAAATGGGAAACTCTCGTATTGAACGCGTCAATATAGGTAGTGTATTATTTGTAAGCATGATAAACTGCGAATACAAGTTGGAAACTTCTAGCTTCTCGCAGGGAAGCGACAGATATTTATAAAAGCACATCCGAACACCAGGAAGTGATCTATACAAAGCACGCTCTCGCAACCAAATGCATACATACAGTACATATCTTATGAAGAACTTATTGTTAAAGGCAATACTAGTTGTAGAAAAATTGGGTTTCATATATTAAAGGAGCAGCAAAATATATACATGCGATTATGCGCATATCCCAAGCGACTCGCCTTTCAAAGCCTGCATATTTGTTTTAGGGTTTATTTACGTTTGATGCAAATGCTTTGCAATGTAGCACTAGAAAAATATATGGCTTGCGTTTGAACAAAGTTAAACAGGTGCCTTTTCATGAACAGGTGAAATTCCATTAGATCATCGAAACACGCAGAAACATGCACCTAATTTAATTTGCAAACTAGTTATTCGGATTTTACAAAATATTTGAAGCGCCGGAAGCGAATTGAATGAGTCCGCAATAAGAGCAGGGCGCTTTTATGGCGCAATACACGCAGAAGTGGGACTAATTGGTGTCGTTCCTGAACATCATAATTTTATCGCAGGGTGTATAACAATTCGGATTTTTTTTTATTATTAAACAACACGAGGCGAAAATACATTCCGAGGGAGTGGCTCCTTTCGGTGCTCGGCACGTATTTCATAACGGAAAAATAAAATAAAACGTAACACGTACGCTCGACTCGAGTACCTTCCGACCTCGGTATGTTCTTCAAAAGCTCAAATACCATCCAGCGGAGTCGACAGATGGCTGGTAAATGTACATTTTCGCGTTAACAGGTCGCTCTAATTCCACAAAGAAATTCGATCGTTTTATTAAAACGCGCCCGGGTTGATATTTATCGATGGCGACATGATTGATACCGATCCGATCAATCATTTAATCGCATCGCGTAATGGAATTTTCTATTTTTTTTTCTCACCAACACCTATACGCGCTACATTCAATCCTCCCCCTTCGATTCCGGCCCATCGAGCCCTTTCGAAAGCCCGTTTTTTTCCTCTCCGGCGTCGATAGAAAACTTACAACGCACCACTCGGATAACTCGATTCGAAAAGTTTGTTTTTTCCACTTCGACGATACGCGCGTATGCATCTAGTACGCTTGAATTAGAAGTTTGATTGATCGTCTTTCGATTGAATCTGGGAAAGATGGGACCCTGCCCATTTGCAACCCTGGAACATTTGCGACCCTAATTTGCAGTTTAAGAAACCGAGATGGAACTCGCGATTTTTGCTACTCTACCCTACCCTTGCCTTCATACAGGGTGGCCCAGAACTCACGTCCCACCGGGAAATGCCTTATGGAAACGACAATGGAGACGCCAAAACCGCAGCCAAAAACATGAAAAAGTTATTCCTTTGGTAAATAAAGAGTTTTAAAATCGACTAATCCCAGTAGGAATTCAAATCCACGAAAATTACGTGAATTAGCTATATACCAATTTGACATTATTGAAAGATTCTATCTCCTTTTCACTTTCAAAGTTAACAAAAGCTGCCAAAATCAGCTGTGACAATTGATCAACTTTTTCCTGCCTTCGACTGCAGTTTTAGCATCTCCATTGTCGTTTCCATAAGCCCTTTCCCGGTGGGGCGCGAGTTCTGGGCCGCCCTGTATATTCTATGTATACAAGGTGGTATATTATGGGTATTTTCTCGGTAGAGCCGGCAACAGGGCGATCTTTGTTAATCCCTGCGAACGCGGACGTTTCGCGGTGAGTACACGAAAGCTCGTTAACTTGTCGATGTTGTTGAACAATGGTCAAAAGGACAACCAGCTGGGTCGCTCGTTAAGATAACGCCTCGTGATTACGCCGTCGAGATTTACCCGGGGACTCACCGGTTACGCCTTTCTTATCGTCCCGATGCCGGGCGTCCGTTTGTTGCCGATTATACCCGTTCGGTACTTATCTGAGCGAGAGCTTGTTGTTTCGAATTCGCTCCGAAAGGTAGAGGAAAATCGCTGGAATTCGACTGGTGAATGCTAATAAAACGTTACTATAAAAGTTTATTCCTCTATTTGGCGATAAGCCCACTTATAGCAAATAAAAATTTACCCTTCGATAGAATTTCAAGAATACTTTATAATCTCGACTTTAATTGCAAACTCCAAACAAACCCCAATGGGGAAATTTATTTTGTTTTCCTCGGCGGGCTTAGAAAAATCTTGATATGTTTTCGATAATACAATATTATTATCTCGCTTCCTTTCTAGACTTTCTAGACCGGTTCTTTATTATATTTACATACATCTCGTCATGTATTATTCATGAAGTGGTTATTAGAATAGAAGGGAGATGCCCGGGGAGTAATAGCTCCTTCTGTATTTGGCACATTGTTGAAATTGGGGAATGATATTTATGACGCTGTAATCCCGCTTTTCTATCTCCTCGTCACTGCGAAAGGGAAGTTCGCTTTATGAAAAATGGAGCGTAAACGACAGTATAAATGAAATTTACTTTTTTTTATTACTCATTACTTATTGATTTTTGTGTTAACTTATACATAAAAAAATATATCTCGCACGTATAGAGGAAACTTTGCAACGCTGCTACAACGAGTTATAATTTATTTATAGATAATAAAAATCGATTGCCTTCAAGGTTCAGTTTTAATAAATTTATGGAGGGTTTTAATTAATTTGGGGGTTCCCCGGGATGACCCGACCACGGTAATCACCTGTTACAATACGTTTCCCCACGAGTCCAACCGGAGTTGAAAGTTTCCCGGAATAATGTACACAAGAGAGAATTCCTTCCTGGAGATTTACCCGGAAAAATTTCCGATAAAAATTTTTCGCCCTGGCTCTGCATAAATTGATAAGATAATTCCCAACTCCTAATTACTTTTCCTCTCCCCATGCATATCGCCGGTTTCGAAATCCCCCGAGTCCAAAAAGATACGCTTTTCATTTACAAAATTTGATACACCGGCAGCGATTATTCGAGCGCCGAATTAAACGAACGTCGATTTCCTTGCAGATACGTCCGCGGAGAGGTCGGAAAGGCGGCAGGAAAAGCACCAGGAAAAGCGACCCGTATCCGTGGTCATCCCGACGGCTGTGAAACGCCTCGACACCGTCACGCTCCAGTGCAACTACAACTTATCCGGCGAGCCCATTTACACGGTCAAGTGGTACAAGGGCCCCAAGGAGTTCTACAGATACATTCCCAAAGAGCTGCCCAACGTCCAAGTGTTTGCCCTGCCCGGAATTACCGTCGATGTAAGTCTCATTGTTAGCTTCCTGTTCTATCCTATTGCTTCGACTTTGATTAGAAACTAGCTTGAGGTGTTGAGGAATAATAGCCAACGTGGCAACGTCGTTTGTGATGTTTTTACTGCATTATTTGGGAGTTTTTTTAAACATAAATTTATTTTGTTTTCAGGAGTTGAAGAGTACTCACAAAAATCTGGTACTCAAGAACGTCCAACCTGAAGTAACGGGAAGATATAAATGTGAAGTGTCTTCGGATGCTCCGAATTTTTACACCTACATGCAATCCGGGTACATGTATGTAATTGGTGAGTAAATTAATTTTTTTTAACCTTCCAATGAAGTTTATATAAAGCTTGCATTTGATGTAATCATTTCTGCGTTTCTTTGCCGAGCGAGCTTTACTTTATAAACTTTTTCATGTCCCGCCGGCTTTGCGAGTGTGTTTATATTAAAATTCAACAGAAACATCGTTCGAGATTCAATTTATTCGAGAAATAATTTATGCAAGACAAAAGCGAGCTTGGGAGCGGAGCGAAAGGAGGCCGGGGAGGAGAGGAAAAAAAAACTCCGGGGCACGAAAAACTGAAAAACTTCCAATGCTAATCGAGTAAAGTCCGTTTGAAGTGTCACATCCAGAACGCTGATTTGTGACTTTCAAAGTCGCTCGGTGAATTTTAAAAACCGACCTCCCGCGATACAGAGTTTGTATCGAAAGGTGTCGAAGCGAAAAGATGCCGGAAAAATTGCATGTGTACACTGGTTAAATTTATTTTTGTAAAAGGAAACTTTGACTTTGTCGGAATGTCTGTTGAAAAGTTGGCGCATTACTGGAAATAATTATGTTGTTTTTCTCATATAAAGAAAGAAGAAAGTGTGATGTTGTGTCTAATACTGTTATTTTAATAATCTTTCTTTGTTCAACACTATTGCCCATATACTTTCTGCAAACAAAATAATTAGGGAATCACTTAACTTTTTATATAAATTTCTTCCATAAAAAAATAAATAAAAAATATCCATAATTCATCGACGATTGGGCCGAAAATAAACAAGATAAATACGGAATTTTCTTTATGTATGCCGAATCTTAATTCCTAAATTGTATCAAATTTTCCTTTCCGCACAAAGCGAAATGCGAAGCGCCCCCGTTTATCCGCGAGACCCGAATTTTCCTTTTCTTCTTTATCAAGTAAACACACAAACGTAAAAGATCATTTAGTTCGAAAACCCGAACGCATTTCTTTCGCTCAAAAGATAAACTCCAAAGAAACAAACCCGACAAGGGGCCGGCGAAAACCGGGGGAGAAAATCGCCCTCCCTGCGGCCGAGCCTAGCCCACATTTCACCTATTTTCCGCAAAAGTCCGTGAGCCCATTACAGCATTTCCCAATATTTTCATTTCCCCCCTTTTACGAATAATAAGCTCGTTTTGTTTAATTCATTTTAAGGTTCTATTAAAGCACTTAAAATATATTGAACCTATTGATATTTTTAATTGTTAAATACTCGTTATTTTAGTAAATTTTTGTTGAAGTAAATCCCGGCTCATGTACTACACATATTCCAGTGTATTTTCCCCCCTAAATCCTTTCGGAATTCCCCCATTCGACCCGAAACCGGCTAATCAAGTCTGCCGTGATGCATAGCCCCCTGCGCTCCTACACATCGTCACGCTCACCTGGCTTTCGCGTTATTTTTCCGACGCATTTTTCACATTCAATTGAGGTAATGTCGAGCGTAAGGGGGGGATTTTCCTCGAAATGACTTTTCTCTTCATTAGACGCGATTGCGACGGTGAAGCGTCGCCTTTTAGAGCGCTGCCACGACGGTAGGGTATTTTTTTTCTTCCGCCCGGATTAAATCCGGAACGCGCGTTCATTTGTCATTGCGGCCTGCGTTCCGGGGGAAAGTAATTTCGCTTAATGACTCCGGTCGAATGACTTAGACGAATTTTTTTCCTTAGTTTTTCCGTTTATGCACGGCTGAGGATTGCGAATTGTTTCCTATTATAGCTCAAACTATTTACTGGAGCTAATGTACTTTCTCTACCCTTTCTTTTACTTAGATTTGAGCGATTCTTCTTTGAAAAGAATCGCTCAAAACGCTCGCTGCGTGAGCTTAATTCGAGCTCTATTTTGCCTATTTTCATACTCTTCTATTAGATTTGTTTGAGGATATATACGAATAAAAATCACTTTTTCTTTTTCCTTCATATGAAACTAATAGAAAGTTTTGTTTGTTGCACCCTGCATGAACCATATTGCAAACAATTTTACATCTTACAATTAAAATTATAGATAATAATTTTGGATGATATTCTGGAATGTCTTCCGTACGCCACTGTTTTGAAAACCGCTCTATCTCGCGAATGAGCAAAGAAAAAGTAAAATCAGCCTTATCTGGGAGGTTATGAAAAACTTAATACAGGAATAAAATAAGAAATACTTTGGGGGATTTCCGGGGAGCGTTTCGCGTGCTATTCCTGGGGTACGTATTAATAATAAAACGAGAGGGCGGTTTTTTTTATATCTATATATTTTTTAATTAAATCGAGTCGGTCGAGGAATTTCCGTTGTTTTTCTTGCGCCATCTAATTTCGAGAATCGTCATTTTGATTTTTTTTTTATCCAGTGGCGTGTGTTATTCGAAATTAAATTATCGTGTTTAATCGAGGGCCCGGCCGATATGCGTTTTTAATGAAAGCCCCGCGACCGGCAGGGAATTTTTCCGTTGCGAAAACTCGATTAAAATTCGCGAGAAAATCCATTCGACGGCGCGTCCCGTATTTATTTCTGTTCGGGATGCTGAATCGATATAGACACTAACGGATTTATTTCGCGATTCCGTGTCAGCATGAAATATTGGATTGTCAGCGAAATTCGATCAATTTGTATATTAGATTTTAAGTTACGGGATTTCAGAGCGACACTGGGCGAGTTTCGAATCGGTTTAATCGAATCGCCGTCGATTTTGTAAAATTTTCCATGTCAATCAACCAAATATGTAATGAAACGAGGATTAAAATATTACCGTATAGTTCCATTTCAAATACACTGCTCATCAACCTTAATCGTATACGAAAGGCTATACGTATTTTATATCGAGCAGTGTATTTCCGGGGATACGAATCGGTACGTACATGTTTTTCCATAAACGTTAATTCGAAGCGATAGGTATTTCTCTCATTAGCTTTATACCCGTGAATAAAGCAATACCCCGACCAATAAAGCTTTTACCCAGAGCCCGGAATGTATAGGTAATGTAACAGCTGAGGTGAACGACAATGGGTCGAGTGTGGATCATTGGTGGGGAAAATTGAACCAAAAATGGGAGCTGGAAATTGGAAATCGAAAATCGAAGGCTATATGATCGTAAACGGAAACCGCACAAACATGTCGCTTAAGTTTTTATTGCGATATTTTCAATTATTGCACCAATTGAAATTACAGCCAGTCACTGAAAGTTTACTGTATTTGAATTATAGAATAGAAGTTGTGGAAAATTCTAAACTTTTAAGTCAATACTATATAAAACTGCACGTAACAATTAACATTGCTGAAACTTGTTCTAAACTAACGCCTAATCAATAAACAATACACATACTAATGAACAATCTGCGAACTAATTAATATTCAACGAACATTGTATGTAACTACTGAGTGATCAATAAGTATTCAATGTACAATGAACTAACAAGTAGTCTACGATAATTGCACTTCATCTACACTTATCCAAGCACGTATTATTATTTTATTATTACGATGCACTTAGTATATCGGTGTTGTAACAGCGTAAACGTTTCGAATGGTGACTCGGCGTCGCCGTCGCGGCGCGAACACTCTTTATACGAATATTCGAGTATGTGTGTGTGTGTGGAAGCCAAGCCGCAACGGAAGTTGAATAAGTTAATTTCCTGAATATGCTCTCGCTTTATGCGAGAACTCACGGTTTTCGTTTTCGCTCTCTCACTCGAACCGACAACGTCTTCTAACAAGTTATATAAGATCGAAGTTTCAATTTAAACTAAATATTTCCTTATTTTCCTTTGGTAGGTACATATTATATCGCAATATTTTCGTATTTATATTTCAATTTACTTGGAAAATATCTCGGTAATATGCCTCATTTCTAATTAAACAGACCTACACTTAAATCAATATTAACCAATCAATCAGATCCTAATTAAAAATTATTAATGTACGTTTAACAACATACAACTCGAGCTCACGCAGACAGCGAGACTCTGGGTGGATTAAAAACTCATCAATAGAGGTGCAGTAGGATTTATTTTCCAAATAAATGGAATCGTTTTCGTAATATACTAGGACTGGTATAGTGTTGTTGTCGAAATCGGACATGTTTCGATTGTACCGCTCGATTAATCGCCGAACATTCAATAAATCGTCGATAATTGTTTCGGTTTCCATCCTATTGCCAATGGCGATTCGTTAGAAATCGTTGATCGATTTAACGGTAAAATAATAACGGCTAGTGTGATTATTCGAATTGATCGATTAATCGATTAGTTTTGCACATCATTTAAGTAGTAGGTAGTTAATTAATTACACTCGGTAGCCAATTTGAAATTCAGGAAGAAAGAAAATAAATAAATACGCGTAAATATGCCATTGTATTAGGGCCTTTCATTCGATTAGTAGCAATTTTTCCTCTGCGGTTTTTTTTCCGGGGCGCCGGATTGCAAGACAAACTCCCGGTCGGCGTTAAAGTGCCATAGTGGAAAAAGGTTTTTTTGGGGTCAACGAAAACCGAAGTCGATGTTTTCCAACAAATTAACCTAATTTATGGAAGCTTCTACGGCTTTAAATAAATTTATGTTCGAGTCGCGGAAAATTCCATTGTCTGTTTCGGGGCGAAAAACACCCGCACGCACACCGGGCTATCTCTTTTTTATCGGCGTTATTCGGATAAACAAATGAGTAAATCATGTTTGAATTATTACGGTTGGATTCTTTTTTGTTGAATCTATTATAGTTTCAAATTCTCGGGTATATAGTTTGCTGATTTGCCAATCGAGCTCGTCCAGCGAGCGAGACCTCAGGAACGTTACTGTTTGATAATTTTTTTACGAATCCCGCTTTTATGCAACGCTTGTTAACAGTATAACCAACTGGTTCATTGCAACTTTTATACATTTATAAGGCTCCTTCGAAATTACTTATTAATTTTTTAATTTACAGGTAAAATAGTGCAGTGTGTAAACGAGCAGTTTTTCTGTATATAGAACAAATTTTTTTTTTTCGTTTTTTTTTTTGCTTTGCGGTCGCGAATCAGGGGAAGCGAAACGGGCAAATTTTCCAAATATTTACGCGACCCGGCGTGTCCTTGCACGAGCAAAAAAGCGTTCGCTCTCTGCGATATCGAAACTGCAGCTCGAAATGAAACCGATCTATTATTTATTTTGTTTTCGACCATACCCAGTAAACGTTGATGAGTCAATATCGCCCGTTCCAGTTTGACGTCGAACGGCATTAAACTACAAAAAAAATATTCTGGATCGAAAATGAACAATTACACTCAACTATTATTAGGTTTCAAAAAAACAGTAGCTCGATTTGATTTGCCAACAATTTGTAGCTCGAAAAAACACGGGATTCAATAAAATTTAAAATTCAATTAAACATCTCCCTCTCATCAAATTAGCACTCTTCGCGTAAACGATACGTAAACAATCTCATCGCTTATCTATAGCGAATTCGAACAAGGATTGATAAATCCAACAAGACAACATTTCCTCCGGCATAAATTCCGGGGAGCGAACTCGCCCTCGTCCCATCCTCACATATCAATAACGTGACAAAAATGTAACGAGTACGGGGACAAGCGCCGCTAGGCACGTGCGTGTACACCTATCCGAATCTGAATTTTCATTTTTCGCGACTGGGATTTCCCCGAAACGCCGGATTAAATTGTACGTTTCGTGGGAAATTCGTTGCGTAAACGGCGATGTCGCCTCGCGCTCTCCGGTTTCCATGACGAATAATTGAGACGTTTTATTTTTAGAATGTTTGCGATACTGACTGCAATTGTGTTGGCAGCACTGATGAATAATTTTTTATTACTGAATTGCTCCCGGCGTAAGAAAACTAACCCGGTGGGGTTCACAAGTTGTTTCTTAGACGCGCTTAAGAAGGGGACTTTTGGGGAGTATTTAAGCGAAGTAAAACATAAATTTCTTCACGTTTTTATTTGGTTGTTTCAGACGTGCCAGTGGAGGATCCGATCCTGCGGACTGACAAAGAAATTTTAGATACTGGTTACAGGTTGAAAGGAAATTGTTCGGCTCCGGCGTCTTGGCCTCCGGCGAACATCACGTGGCTGCTCAACGGAAAACCGGTAAGAAAACTAAGTTTAATATATTCACCAACTCATTGTGAATCGGTTAATTATATATTTAACGGGAAAGTTTAATTTAATTTCTTCGACAAAGTCGCTGGGGAACTTAATGAAGGCGTTATTAATGAATGTGTTGTCGTTGTCGATTTCGTAAATTGTTTACGTGGAGATTCATATTGAATAGGGCAAACTTATTTTATGTGTTTTCCGGATTTTTTTTTATGTTTTATCACAACTATTATAAATCATCTTGTAGGTATATGAAACTATACATTAATATTAGTAATATTTTGAAGGGTTCGAAAAGTGCTCGATTTTTCGATGGCGAATTAGAGCTAGATAGGCGTTAAGTGTGCGATACAGCGAAAATATTTCAATTTCGATAGAAAATATTGATGAATGAACGGGCGTTTTACATTTTAACAGCGTTTTTCCAACGAAAATCCAATAATTGAATAAATGACATTGATAAATTTCCCGATTTTTGTGTAATATTACGATATTTAAACGTCAGCCGTTGTTCGTATATTTATTTTCATAGATTGATGGGCATTTTCGAATTTGATTGTCGAATAACAAATGCGAAAATCGCATTGTCATGGCTACTTGTAGCTTTTTCAGCGTAAAAAATAGTTGATGTCATTACGAAATAACACAATAAAAATACTGCACCAAAATACTATATAATATGCTAATTATTTATAAAAGTTTTGTATCCACCGAAGAATCATTTATCTTAAATACCATTTAACTACTTTAAAAAGTCATATTTCTTTCCTAAAAGAATCATTGACAGGATATCATCGGATGACAAATCGGTACTGCCAACATACTTTTTGACATTTATTGCCAACTACTATAGTAAATACACTTTTTAGTATTTCCCTTCAGATAAATGGAACAACTACGCAACGTTGAAAACCCTCTAAATCGAAAATTTAAAAAAAACACTCATTAATCTTCTCGTCGATTTTCCGATTTTCCTCATTGTTTCGCCGGGCCGAAAAATTTTAAAAGGAAAAACCCGCTCGGAAAGTTTTAAGATTCGCATTTTCGCATTCCGTCCGGTCGACGACACTGAAAGAAAAACGACCGCCCGGATTATTTCCTGTTTCGGGATTTATTAATTAAAAGTTTTTCTTTTTCTGCGCCCCAAATTTCTAGCGAGATGGAAAAATTGCGCCGCCAAGTCGCGAATAATTAGATGAATATTATGTGCTCGGTTTTTTTAGGGAGATTTCGAGGAGAATTATTTACTCGCCTGCTGAATATTTAACCTCGCTAGTTCCTAAAGAAATTCTGGCAGAGAATATTTTTATCAGAAAGTAGAAAGGAAATCGAATCACCCTGTTTAGCCGCAAAATAGAATGTTCGAAGTAATTTAATTCGAATAAATCAACACCCGGAAAAAATCTGGTCTTTAACGCGCAACCGGAACCTTCCCGATTTAATTAAAGGTAATAGACCGTGACGAATATTCCGGAGTTTCTGAAATACAACTCCCCTTCTCTTTCGCATAGTCCTCCTCCTCCGAGCTTTTCTGTTCTGATACTTTATCGCGTGTAAATAAATACCGTATTTACGTGTTACGCGTCATAAACTAGGCAGTTGTCTCCGGGAATTACGGCCGCTGAAAAGGGGGACTTCCCCGGACTCCTCCGCAGAAACGGACGTTTTATCATCGTCGGAAGTCTAGCGAAACAAAAAACGTGACTGACAGTCGGGATTGTAAATTGCGCCGAGAATTAATTCGATTGTGTCGAGAAAACCTCTCGTTGACTATACTATTAACACCCCGCTGGAAAACCTCTAACCTAATTTATTCCTAACAGTTTCGAACGTTTAAATACTGATTTTTTTTTGTTTAAACTTCCAAACAAATTAACTCGTAAATTTTATGAAGACAAGCTTTATCTAGCAAATCATTAAAAGATTTTTTAACTAATGAGTGAAAAATATTACTCTTTCTATTAATGTTAATGTATTAATAACTAATAAACTTAATTAATGAAAAAATATGAAAACCCCACCCTTTACCCTTTTTCAATTTTATAGTTCTTTTTTAAATTCCGAGTTTGATTAATATCCCTTTTAAATTATTCTACAAATTTTTGCATGCTTACGCGAGTACACGAAATTCACTCTAATACTCTCATCTATTGTTTACTCCCATATTCGAAAACCTTTGAAGATTAATTCTTTTGTAGGAAACTTTTAATTTTATTTTAAAACATCCTGTGTTAATGAAAGAAACAACCAACAACAACAACAACAACGGTGCAAAATTCGATGAAAGGGTCATTGTAAATGAAATTACTGGAGTGTAAGCGTCGTACTAACGTTTTTAAATGGGAATTGTTGAAATTCGTACTTTATTTTATGGTCATTAATTATCCATCTGGGTAAATTTTTGTTGGATCTCGTTCGAGGAAACTTAATTAAAACAGTTGCAGTTATCTTTACAGGTGAAAAATGGCTGAATTAGTGTTGCGATTAAAAACTTTTCTCGACGAATTTTCCAGTAGAGGCGCATAATGGTAGAATTCCTTGAAAACATTTTAACAGTAGATACACTGAAAAGTTAAAAAATAATAAAAATCCGGATTTTTTTTTATATCCAAGAGAACCAGAAGAATAATTAAAGTCTGCATACAAACGATTCCTATACTAGTAAAGTCAACACTTATCTTAATGGCAAAATAAAGCAAGCTAATATTTAATGAATAGACATTATTTGAAATAATCCTATTTAAAAACGGCTTTTAAGCGAAAATCCTACCTATAGATAGAGATGGTGCTTATTTTGTAGATATCAGAGAGATCAAAGCGATGATGCAAGCATATTTGTAATTTAATGAAAATTCAGGTAATCAAAACGCGAAATGAATTTCGAACGCCGAACGATAACATCGATAATGCAATCAGTCGTAAACAAAATTATATTACAATTGTAAGCCTCCATTCGATCGGAAAATTTATTAGTTTTCCTCTCGGAAATCGAGTTACTTAAAATCGTCAATACCGGGATAAAATCAATACTAGGATTTCGTGCGATTGAGAAAGAAACTAGCGAATTATATATAGGTGGAAGTTCTCTCGATATTAATGTGAGTTTAATAAAAAAATAATAATAACCAACTCGCTCGTCTGGTATAGCGAAAAATGTTCAAAATCACTGACGGTTTCAATTCGATAAACTTCCACTCAATCATTCAATCGTTCGATCAGTGGAATTCGACTCGATCAAATTTTTATTCAAACCGCCGGGCCGGATCGATATCGTTATCCTCCTTACGTTCGACCTCGCGTACGCGAGATGAAAATTTATTTTATATGTTTTACTTACGACTCCTGCGGGGAATATCCCGAAGAGCTTATGATGCCGAGCCGATATTTTAAGTGATAGATGTGGGCGGGTGATGTTACAAATGCACACCTGTCTGATGATTTATTTCGCTCGATAAACTCTGATCAATTCCGGCGCGCCTAATCAAATATTCGCAATGTCTTAGATTTATCCTTCGGCGAGATGAAATGTAATTTTCGATATTATAACATAAATAAAAGAAGGGAGAAAAAAATTGCCATTCCTGCAGGATGTAGTGTAGGTTTAAGCGGTAAAGGTTTAGGTATATACAGGCTATAAATCCTTATTAGGTTTGCATCGTCGTTCGAACGTTTACGGTTTGAATATCAAGTTCGAATTGCAGACCTATTCGTGTATATAAGATGGTCGAAATTGAAATGCCCCGTATTCGATTCGAGTGTTTAGGATGTTTGCCTTTCGGTATCGTTTGATTGATTACGCCCATTCGAGGATTAATCGAATCGAGAGCGAGGAAGAGCCGGGGAGCGTGCTCGAATTGCTCCGGACGTGCAGGCTCGCTATTTGTTTAGATTTGCTTTTAATAGGTACTTAATTGCCTCGACACTCGAGCTCGCGGGTGAGACATACCTCGAATATACATCTTCAAAGCACTTATAACCAGTCCTTGCGGTGAACTGGAGTTGTTAAAACATTGATTAAATTCACTAAAGCTCCCGAAACGATGGAATAAATCCCGGGCTTTTTTCGATCGTGGTCACGAGACGATATGTCTCCGAGTCTCCCGGTGGAAAAATATTAAAATTTACGAAAGCATCCCGACCGGACCGCATTTTTAATAACGTTCGCTTAATTGGAAACTCCTTTTTTTTTTCTTTTGCACCGGGGGAACTTTTAATCGAAAAATCGGTTACTGCACGGCGCATTTTCTAATCGTCCGGAATTAATTAAACGATGACGCGGTTCGGGAAATTTTAATGCGAAATTACTCACTAACTAAAAATAACAATGATCAATTACCAACTAATGTCAATTTCACCTGCGATTTTTTCTTGAAAAAATATTCCATTTCGCTTAATGGAATTTGTCAAACCCACGTTGTATAATCAACACATAAATCTGATACTTTTTGTGGGCGCCCTATTAGATCCAGGACCGTACTCGAAACGAACTCTCCTCGACTAACAGGACCTGCGACAACATATTCACTCTTCACGCCGTATCATTTAATGTTTATTCCGGCATTATTAAATTTTGATTTATGCTCCGTAATTGCATTTGTCATTTTAATTGTAACATACTTGCTTGCGTTCGCCGAATTCAAGTTGAGTGTGATTAATTAACGAATTGAATTAATGACCGTTACCATGTCGGTTGCATTCGCTATATTGTTTGATATACACTTATATGTATATCTATATATAGAATACGCTCCCCTTTCGAATTCTCGCAGCACATGTTCCTGCTGGTGCTAACTTTGCGCCCGATTTGCCGCCGCTTATTGCCCGCCCTTCGACATGTTTCCCCGCTTGCTTTAAGAATCTAATATAACACCTATATAACGGATTAATTAAAAATAAAATTGTGCAAACTTACAACACGTGAATTCTAAAATTAAACCAAGAAATAACGGGATTTCCCCGTCTACACATTATTTACCTCTTCATTAGCGAGTAATTTTTTGCCCTTTGGACAAACTTTCCGGAAGCGTCGACAATTAACGACTACATAAAAAGCTCCGGGACAAATCATTCTTTCCGTCATTATTACACCCGTTATTAAGATCATTAAGATGATTTAGATTTAGTAGGAACAGTAATACCAGTAGTTCGCGCCCGGAAGACCGAAAACTTTGACCATAAATATGAACGCAGGGGGCGGCAGACGTTATTAATGACTTCTCTTTTGCTCTCGAAGAGGTCGGGGACAGAACACTGCGAACGCTGCGAGTCCACTTTCAACCCGAGTTCCTACCGAATTTAACTAACGATAATACCCGACGATTTTCTTGTTTACAAATAATCGATATTTATTATATTACGAATGGAATCGTGGAGAACAAGTGCCTTGTGTTTTCAGATAAATTACACGTACCAGGAGCGCGTCCAGCCGCGCGATTACAACATGAAAGCCTCCGCGACGTCGAACAAAAGGATTCCGCTGGTGACCGTTTCCGGCGTGGAAGTGGCCATCGATGAAAGCCATTTCCACGGCGGGAAGGCGCGAATTTCCTGCGTGGCCAGCGTTTTTCATCTGTACAGGCGCGAGAAGAGCGTCGTGCTCGACGAGGACAGGCCGAGGCCGAGGCCCTCTTCGGTGTTGGGCAACAGGGACTCCAATTCAGGTTAGAATTTTTGCTATTTATTACCGTCATCGTCTGTTTTATTTGATTTATGTACACGATTGTACGACCTTCACTTAAATTGTAAGTAAAGTTTAATCCTTTAGGTGGCGGATATTTCATTGCACCAGTGTTATAAGTGGGACTTGAAAATGTTAAGATGCGTTTAAGTTAAGCGGTAGAAATTGTACGACTTGTAGTTCGTCTTAACCTAAAATGGTCAAAATATAACCTGTAATAATAAATAATAAAAATGTATATTGAAATCGACAATCATGGAAGAAGGTTGGAAAGGCGGTTGCAGGATTGTTAATCATGGATTTCCACGACAAATTTATGGACGAAATAGATAGTTTTGATAAACCATCTTTTGTAAAAAGATTCCGTCTAACTAGAGAAAGTGTTAAATAAATTTTTCTGAATGAATCCGCCACTTCTTACATTCTAAGATGGTTTTGAATTGAACAATTATATCAAAAGAACGTTTATTTCTTCCCTAGTATAATTCCCTAGTTAGGACTTCTAAACTCGCTTTTACTTTCATTTTATTCGAAGAGGCTGGCCAATTTGCAGCCTGACCAACATTAAACACCAAAATAAAACTAGATCTAGGCAATGTTGGCGTTTTACTAAGTTGGCCTAAGTGTCAGTGGTGCAATACTTAAAATGGGTAAGTGAAACTTGGAGTTCAGTGCAAGTTAATTAAGCTGGGGATTTAAGTGAAGGTCGTGCAATCGGGCATTATATTTATCAAAATAAATCTACAATTCAAAAAAATATCAAATAGATATAGAGCCGAGGGCGGGTAATGCGAGGATTTAAGGATCACATAAAGTGGGTGCTTTATAATCATTAGCTGCAAAGCGCGTGGAGACTGGACAATTTAACTCTGTGGAACGTCGTCTTTGTCTTGTACAGAGGCATTATCTAGATTAAGTGAGGAAAAGCGAGGATTATCTAATTTCCTTATAATTACAGGAAAAAGTATAGCAGAGAGCTCGAACGGAATGAGACCAGAAACACCAGATACATAGGCGGATGCGCCTTTTATACCTTAATTAAATGATACAATACAATCCCCTAAAAGCATAATTTCAACACAAAAAATATACTAATAAGATAAGAAATAATAAACATAAATTACTTAAAATTTTCGGTAGACCCAGTTCTAAAATAGAAGACATTTTATAGATATCAAAGTTTTGTTATGGAATCATCGAGACGCTCATGGGAATCCATAGCAGAACAAAAGCGAGTGAAAATAGTAAATTCCGTCGCAAAAAGCGTAATTAATGTCAGTTTGTTCGGAGAGCTAAGTGTACATAAAATGCTCTAATAAATACAAATTACCTTCTTTTGCGGTCCGTTCGGTTCGCTCTTTCCATCTCTCGATATAAATTAGGAAGTGCTCGCCTCATTTACGGCGATTCCGATATTTATAATGTCAACAGATCTGAAAGAAGAGAAAAATGAACTTTTTATCTTAATATTTTCTCTCAAATAATTATACATTTAGTAAAGTTTTAACCGATAGCAACTCTTGACGATATTTACTTTTTTATGCTGTTTTATAGTCTTTTACCACAGCGGTTATTCATTCCAGCTCATTCCAAGTTCTTATTTCAGCATCAGCTCAACTAATATTATTAAAAGTCATCTCAATAGCTCACAAATTGAGTTATTTATAATTACCGAACTATCTCCGACTTGTTAATAATGATAAAAGTACTCGAAATTGAGCTCTCGTGGAGTTTTTATCGAGCTTAAAGCTAGCGAGCTTAGCCGTGTCTATGAATATAATTATATTTTTTGTGTTTTTGTTGCAGGAACTTCGAAATATTTCAGCATCATCTTTTACTCGATTACGACGCAAATACTGTTATTTAGCCGGTAACAGAGCGGAATTTAAACGTAAGTGTTGCTGTTGTAAAAAGTAAAGCGCTCGGAAGTCGAGAAGTTTTGAATGAGAATCAAAGTTGTGATACAAGGACAGGCGTTTTTTTGTATATAAAAATACTAATTATTCATAGATTATTCGCTAATGAGAAATAAATACCTGCGCGAAGTCAAGGAAGCTATCAGAAATATTTGGCTGTACATATAAATACTTTTAGTGGATCTATCTTTAAGATAAATTTATAAATTGTTTAAATAAATGGTAAGATAAATCAAATGCTCGAGTACTGAATGAATTCCAATAAAAATCAAATAATCGAGAGTGCTATGTTAAAAATGTCGTTTTCTACATTATAGATACCAGTATTGAATTATTTATTGTATGTGAATGTATGAGTTATTATACAGGATGTTCTCGCATTTATTTCTAATTGCTCTATTTTGTTTATTATAAAATTTTTTGATGCAATTATGCAAACTACCACCCCTAGAATTTAGTGCCATAAGTTGGGGAACACCCTGTATTACAGTTATAAGTTAATCGGTATTTGAAAGGGAAAAACGAAAACTACCTGTATAATAGATGTTTATTAAGAAAGCAGTTTTATGTATAATTGTAAATTTTGTAAAACATTCGATAAATATGTGACACGGAACAATCAATAACATTGGGTTATTAATAATGTTAGATGTATCTATGAGATAATGTAAATACGTATCTACAAGAATATACAATGTAGTTATTTGTCAGAATATTAAGTAAAATAAACAAGTATGCATTATTTCATATTCAGATGAGATATTTGAGAAATGTTTGCAAACTTGTATGCAAAACAATAGAACTTGATTGAAAGTAATTACATTACAGGATAGTAAGTTATTGATTTAAATTATAACAAGAAGTGTGCAATATAATCCTGTATGTAATTACAGCGACTTATAAATTCCAACAATTTCGAACTATTTCTAATTAAATAATGCATACGGACACAATAATTAGAAAATAATTGAGTGGAAATGTACAAAAAATTTGTTACCCCATGTAAATCCCGACTCTACAATAAATTTGTTGAAAACACCTATTTTGCTTTGCGAATTTCCCTATATAACTTTTTCCCTTTTCGCGCGAGAAAAGTTTCCGTTTTAACGAGCTTTCCTGCAACAATTTCCGCGCGAAAATAAAACTAACCACTCCGCCGTATACAAGGAGATTCCGGGTAGATTCCGGAAATTAAAAACTCGAATCAAACTTTAAATATACCACTTACTTCATAGCTTTAAAAATTAATTTTTTACTAGTAAATAAACAACGTTCTAACTTCATAAAGTTTGCTAAATCAATCGTAAAATTACCATTGTAAGGATTCTTCCTTTATTACAGGAATCCTCCTGTACGCAGCTCCGACAATAAACGATCCTTTCGCCCCGCCGTTAGATTTTCCTCTCGTTTCTACATTAGTTCTGAGAGGCAATGAATGACATTGTGTAGTTCTTTCATCTCGAATTGTGCCCGGAATCTAATTTTGTTAGTTATTTAACTTCAATACCCTCGGCACAATGGAAGATGAAGGACAATGGCGAAAGGAGAAGAAGGAAAAAAAAGTTAAAAAGAAAAGTGGAAGAGTCGTGACAAAGAATACCAGATTAGACGGGAAAATTAAAGTGACACTGGGGTTAGGTTAAGTTCCCGAGGTGGAAAGGGGAATTATTATTTCTCTTAATTAATGGCTGTTTTTTTTTGCTCTTGTGATTCTTGATGATGTTTCAGGCGATTTTATTTGAAATGAGTGTAATTAATTATATCGTATCACCGGTGATTAGCAGGTTTGTATATTTTTTATAACGCAGATAAATGTTTCCCAGTAAATTTCGAATACCAAGAGAAAATATACTGCTCCACAAAAGTTAAGGAAGTTCACAAATATTGAGATTAATTTAAAAGTACAGGTTTTTTGATCACCAAATTTAGTATGAGTTGTAGAGGTAGGGGCAAAAAATCCACTCAGATATGAGAGAAAACGTTTAATTTCGCATATTTAAAAATTTGGTGATCAAAAAGTCTGTAACTTTTAAAATAATCGCAAAATTTGCGAACTTCCTTAACTTTTGTGGAGCAGTTTATAAACGAGAAATGATGCGACAATTTATTTTTCTATATTACGCACGAATAAATAAACTAAATAATAGACAAGAAAATTAGTATCGAATGCGTTAAATACAAGCAATAAGAGCCGCCCTCAAACGAAATTAAAACGTATTTTCGGCGGCAATTAGTCCTTTTTCCGGTAAATTAAGCAGTCGTATTCGTCGTGTTTTAGCCTCCCCGGAACATCTTGGAAGTTTGTAATCTTACCTAAGATTAATATAAAGGGTTTTGTAGTCGGTAACTAAAACCTTCTCAAAGAGAATGGGGAGAAAGGAACAGAGGACGCGAGCCGGTAATACATGTACATACAGGGCGTTATACTGAATTAATAATTTCTTCAAGATAAATATCTCCTTACAAACCAGAGGTAAAAACTGATTTACTTAAAATTTCTTTTGAATATATTCTAAAGTATTTTCTAAAAAAAATAAAGTTGCAAGATAATGGTAGTAGAAGTAAGGTAATAGTATCAGAAGGAATATTTATTACTACTAATAGAAGCAAGATAACGATATTAAAAGTAATATAACGCATGTAAAAATTCAACATTTATTCGAATATAAACACAATCAAACGATTATCCAGTCGGGAACGACGTTGAGGCGGTACTTTCTTATTTGCAGTACAAAGAAACTTGCAGACATTGGCTCTAACAAGCAAGTAATTTTCTGACGGTTGGTACAAGTTGGTTGTTGTAGGTTCTTGTTGGTACTTATTGATACTTGGTTTTTTGTTAAAACACCATTTTGGACACAATACTGCCGATTTTTCGTACGGACTGTACATGGACTTATCCAATTCAGTACCTTCAGAGAATACTAAATCGTTGGTAATTCTCGAACGAATTATCGGTTCTGCTAATTGTACCGGAGGTATTTCCACTGGGTTAATATTATCATAACCTCCTTGGTCTTGTAAAGAACCGCATATTCGGAGTACTTTTCTGTGATTCTGAATATTTGACATCTACAACAAATAATAAACAGAACAGTAGCTAATAAAAATACCACATATTATTTTACCTGCATAGAAAATGTACTGCATACGATAACAAATAAACTAACTAGAAACATTCTCATTCACAACTAGTTACTTACCAAAACGTTTGCTAACATCTTGAAGAATTTTTGCAAAATAATTTCACAATAAAAAAGCAGATAAACATTTTTTATCGCGATATACATACCTATCGAATAAGATTTTTTTTATTCAGTAAATTACAAACAAATCATACACTTGATGGATGAATAGATCGAAAGAAAGCATTCGATGATAAGAATCTGGAGTTGCTGGAGTTGGAAAAAAAATATCGCCGAGACGGAAAATTTATAGTGCGTGAATATTCGTCGGAGAAACTCCGATCCGTGAAAAGTCAGGCGAGAAAACTTTCGGGCAAATGTTTATCTTAAACTTTAGAATAAATTGTGTGTTTGCTCTTTATTATAAGAGGTGCGAAAGGGGGCGCGAGAGTGTCTATAAAATAAAATAAAAATTTTCTCCGCGACGAAAATAAGAATGAGAATATCCTCCCTTGACAAAACAAAAATTAATAGATGATATTGACTATATTTTCATGCAAACAACACCAACATCAATTTTTTTCCTACATTTTCCGCTTTCCATTTTCATCTAATATCACCTAACCTTCCACGGCAACGCAATCCTTGCATTGCAATGGAAAATCTCGATCATATTTCTTTCTGGAAAAGCGTTGAACATTGGAAATTATTTTATGATGGTAATAAAGACCTCGGACGATTTATGGGCAGACATATATTTCCGGAAATGGAGAAAGACAGAGCCGTATATAGTCCATTTAAAATATTATTATTAAAGAGAGACGCATTGATTTGATAGATAAAATTATTACATTGAATATAATGCACAATTATTGTAGTAAGCTGGAGAAATCATAGATTAATGCATTGTAAATCTGGATAAGCTGCTCATCTGGTTAAGTAATCAACTTTCTTATTGTAAATAAATTTCTCTTTTGGTTTGAAAATTGACTCTGTTAGGTTAATAATAAACTCTGTGGGTTAATAATTGACTCTATTAGGTTGATAATTGACTACAATGGGTTGTTAATTGACTCTGTTGGGTTGCTAATTGACTGTCGAGTTGATAATTGACTCTTTTGGGTTGATAATTAACTCTGTTGGGTTCACAATTGACTCTGTTAGGTTGATCATTGACTCTATTGGGTTGACAATTGACTTTTAATGGGTTGATAATTGAATCTTGGTTTCATAATTGTTTCTCCTAAAATATAATCAAAATTTTTACAACAAATTTTCAACAATTCCGCCTTAACTTTTCCAGCTGGACACCAGTGTGTTTACGACGGTCGCTAAAATATCAATTTTCTAGCAATTTCGCTGCATACGTGACCCGTACTACTTCCCTATACTATATCAATGATATGATTAACTCGCCGAAAGTTCGTCGGGAGTTGCTAGTTCGTGGAGTAGTTAAGTTATCCCAAGTTTCTGGATAATCTCGGGATAAAAGCGGCACGAGTTCAACCTTAAATTATCAGCAATTAAGTAAATTCGCTCGGTAAAATATTAGCCCGGGAAGATTTTCGTTAGGGGCGTGGCGTCTCCAAGCTGAGCCTCTAATAAAGAGCCTCTGTTACACTTGAATTGCGGTAAAATTCGCTCCTACTAATTCTAAATGAAGCTAAATCATGGTATGAAAATTGCTCTAAATAGGGCAAAAATAGAGCTTATAAGAGTCATTTAAACCAACTTGATATTATTGGATATCTACTTAAAGATTCTATTAACTTATCCAAGAGTTATTTATTTAATTTGTCTATTAACTAATCAAGGAGAGAAATTTTTACCTACTAAATTTCAAGTTTATCCAAGCTCCACAAAATCCCTTTCTTCGCTTTATGATAATGTATTAATTTCTTTCTTATTTTATTAATGAAATTCACTGAGTTTTTCAAGCACCTAATCTCCGCGGGTATTATGTCTGGAGCGGTTTAGGGTAAGGATATCGAACGTGTTTTCAATTTTATTACATTATCTTCTCCTTAAAGGAAGAAATCTTTATTATATTCGAATAGGGGCTTATCGTATATTCATGAGGGGCTTACGCTATACGCGCCCGAGAGACGGACGAAATTATGATTTCATGCAAAGACTAACAAAAACACAATTTGCTAACAGCGGCAACACGGCAACAAAAGGGTGAGATATATCGCTTAAAATTTATCGCTTTCCTCGATTTAATATCTAAAAATTACGCTTATTCATATACAGAATGTTCGATGAAACGCCCCGTAAATTAATTATCCCTAACATATTTTAATGGCTTCAATAAAACCATTTACTATATTAAATAATTAAATTTCAATAACGATATTCGATATAATAATCCGCTGCAACACAATGGCAACTTTTACAGTTATTATGCAGGAAATGCTATGCGAAAATGATTAAATTCGTAATAGCAGCTGAAACACACCGCATATATTGAAAATTATAGCTCATAACACGCCGCATCTCCCATATTACGCGTGTATATCGTCCGACGATTTAGAGTGTCGCCTGTATAACATATTATAACGTATGGTGTAATACGTGTCAAACAAAAAATATCGTCGCAATAATAGCGGGAGGAATTTTCGCGGCTAAATGAATGGTTTTCCGGGCGGCGAAGGAAAAGCAAAAAACCATTCAGACTTACAGCGAAAACCGATCTGTTGAGTTTTTTCATAAACGGATCCTTACAGGCAGCAATATTTTACTTTTGATGCAACTACTTGCCCCATTCCATCGCCAAAATTAATTTAAAATACATCACGGAATCGAAAAATATATAATATTATACTGTTAAGCGAAAATGCGAAAATAACATTATTTAAAATATCCCCATCACCGAATACACTTTCTTCTCTTTACTCCTTTCTTGAGTACCAACACTCAATTAAATTCTTCCTTCTTCTAACTAAGATCTTAAAGTAAATTCAAATTTTCGCGCCGAATGCGATTCAACACGCCGGACAGGAAGTGCAACAAGATGGCGGCGGGCACGAAGGACAACATGGCGGACCAGGTCGCGGGCAAATGGGTACAGAAGGACAAGGCGGCGGACAAGGAACAACGCATGGAGGTCGTCTCGGTAAACATGGCGTCGGTATAACTGGTGGGCAAATCCTAGGACAAGCTGGTGGGCATCTCGGAATGCACGGCGGTGGAATTACCGGCGGGCATATTCGAGGACATGCAGGTGGACACCTCGGTAGACAAGGAGGTGGTATAACTGGCGGGCATATCCTAGGACAAGCTGGTGGACACCTTGGTAGGCAAGGTGGAGGAATCACCGGTGGGCATATCCTAGGACAAGCTGGTGGACACCTTGGTAGGCAAGGAGGTGGTATAACTGGTGGACAGATCCTAGGACAAGCTGGTAAGCATCTCGGTAGACAAGGGGGTGGTATAACTGGTGGACAAATCCTAGGACAAGCTGGTGGACACCTTGGTAGGCAAGGAGGAGGAATCACTGGTGGGCAGATCCTAGGACAAGCTGGTGGACACCTCGGTAGACAAGGAGGTGGTATAACTGGTGGGCATATTCTAGGGCAAGCTGGTGGACATCTTGGAGGACAGGGAGGAGGTATAACTGGCGGGCAGATCCTAGGACAAGCTGGTGGACACCTCGGTAGACAAGGAGGTGGTATAACTGGTGGGCATATTCTAGGACAAGCTGGTGGACACCTCGGTAGACAAGGAGGTGGTATAACTGGTGGGCATATTCTAGGGCAAGCCGGTGGACACCTTGGTAGACAAGGAGGTGGTATAACTGGCGGGCATATTCTAGGACAAGCTGGTGGACACCTCGGTAGACAAGGAGGTGGTATAACTGGTGGGCATATTCTAGGACAAGCTGGTGGACACCTCGGTAGACAAGGAGGTGGTATAACTGGTGGGCATATTCTAGGGCAAGCCGGTGCACACCTCGGTAGACATGGAGGAGGAATCACTGGTGGGCAGATCCTAGGACAGGCTGGTAGGCATCTCGGTAGACAAGGAGGCGGAATCACCGGCGGGCATATTCTAGGGCAAGCCGGTGGACACCTTGGCGGGCACGGTGTCGGTATAACTGGAGGGCATATCCTGGGGCATGCTGGAGGGCACCTAGGTATGCAGGGAGGCGGGATTACCGGTGGGCAGGGTCTAGGGCAGATTGGAGGACAAGAAGGAGGGCAAGGTGGTGGGCATACTGGTGGGCATGGTTTTGGGCAAGTTGGCGGGCAACATGATGGGCGAATAGGGCAGCAAGACATTTTCTTCAATAATATGCTACAATGTTAAATTACAACCATTAATTAATTACTGTAATTACAATTAAGTAAAAACTATTACTTACTCTTATTATTTTTATATCTGCTTTATCATGACAAAATATTAATGTAAAATTGAGGAATTTCGTTTGTTATATTTCACTGGAATTTTGATAATCTTATAAAATATGTTAATAAATTTTATAGAGATTGTTAACTTTCAAATTTTGATGACATTTCTGCCATTTTTGACGTTAATTCATCATTAGCTTGGAGTTTGGTGCACAAACGCAGCAAAGCTCCGAATCACTATTAAAACATTAACCAAAAAAAAAAACGAAGAACTTCCAAATATGTCCTTTAATAATTATGTTACCTAAATTTTGGATTTTATTATGTATTCATGGTAGATTTGGGCAGCTTGGTGGGCATACGCATGGTGGTCGTTTAGGTAAGCATGGTACTGGAATAACTGGAGGGCACATCCTTGGGCAGGCTGGAGGGCATCTTGGAAGACAAGGTGGTGGTATTACCGGTGGGCATACTCTAGGGCAAGCCGGAGGGCATCTAGGTAAACAAGGCGGTGGGATTACCGGTGGACAGGGTTTAGGGCAAACTGGTGGACAAGCTGGGGAACAACTTGGTGGGCATACAGGTGGGCATGGTTTCGGACAAGTTGGACAACAAGACATTTTGTATAATATCTATAATGTTTATATTTTGTTTGTTGCTTAACAGGTTAACTAAAAATTTGTTTTCCAATGATAATAGTTATTTAAAAATGCAGAATTTTAACACTTAATGTTTTTTTTTATTTTATCTGAAATTTTGAAACATTAATTGAATATATTGTCAATACTGACGTTACCAACATTGCTACGTTTAGTGCAAGAAAATGCACTATACTCAGTTTTTATTATTCATTTTTGGAACTAAGCAAACGAAAGATTTAGAGCAATTGAGGAAAAATTTAACTATATATTGTTATTTATCTATGGATTACATATCCCTTGTTCCATTTGCGATACAGTCGTTAAAACAGGCTGTACTACCAGAGTATACAAGTTTTTGTTATTAATAAATCCATCATGAGCAAATGTAGGACTATTGACACTTGTAAAACTACATCTAGATCCAACTGGTAATTTGTTCCAAAGTTTTTGAGCATTCTAAAATAACACCATCAACAATTACGAGCGTTGGAGAGAATAATTTTATCTTTTAATCTCACCTTTTCCGTCGCCAAGGCGTCGTTTTTACCGGTGAACAAAGCGACCTTCACCGGAATTTTTTCTACTTCGTAATCCGGGTTAGTTGGAGTTCCATAAACAGCAACATTATTAATCTTATAATCGAATCTAGCAAACCTTGCGGAGTTGATGTTCTGACTAAAATGCGTGAACACGTTCTCTCCAATGGAATCTTGATTATTCGTCCAAATAATTGGTAGTTTAGGCTACGAAAGTATCGGTTAATTGAATCTTTTAATTGATTATTATTTTTCACTAACCCAATTTAAACCGTCGTAATCGAATCCAAAAAGTACCGCTTTAGAAACGTAACATCCCATCATTGTGATAGAATTCGTCAAGCACATTTTCGTCTGTTGGGGATTCCTAGGCATCATGTTACCATTCCACAACATTTTAGCGAATGGCTGGAATATAAAAAAAATTAAAGTTCTACACTCTATAGGTTTTAAATGAAAACCAATAAGTTACCTGCGCTATTGGCCAGAACAAAGACAGCCATCCATACGCAGAGGGAATATAGTTATCCATATAAGCTATGGGAGCTAAAGCTACAATTCCTGCTAAATTTTGAGTACAATAATCCGGTTTTAAGCTGCACAAAACAAAACCGATGGTGTTGCCCATAGAAAAACCTACATGTATCGGGTTACGACCAGTTTGTTGTTTGGCCAAGTTTATAGCCAACACTAGCTCCTCTAAAGCAATGTCTTCAAAACTTAAACAATAAATTTTCTATTAATACGTGCAATTTGTATTGTAATAATTGTATTAGCAGATATCGTTTTACTCACTTGAATTTCCAGTAGTTGTAATCGTTCATAGTGAGGCCATTGTTAGTGCCGGTACTGAAGATGGTACCGCGGTTTGCTAAGAGGAAAACTTGGCGTTTTTGTTGAAGTAGTGCGTTGTAAGCTAGATGCAAACGAGAACTTGTTCTAAATCGATTTAATTTGATGAATATTTAGCGATTTACCCAGAGTACTGTTTTGTAAACTGAGGAATCCTCTCATGTTCAGGCCGATTCCGTGTGCGAATACTAGCGGTGCGGCGGTACTGCTTGCATCCAAAGGTACTGCTTGTATTATGTAGATTTGGTAACCGCTCGGGGTGTATAGGGTATGTTCGATTTGCGTCGAAATTCCCCATCTGTCTATTATATCTTTCTAGATTAAATTGTACAGACAATTAATATGGACTATAATTATTATTTAATCAAATAAATATATAATTTTTTTGTACTTACCGGAGAGGCATCGCCATCTGGATCGTCGTGGCAATTGGTCGTGAAAGGATTGTCGTAATCAAATTGGTTGTCACAAACTTTAACGCTCAGTGTAAAACTGAGGAACACAATTTGTAAAATGACAGGCAAAATAAATTGGCGAGCCATATTATTTTCAAACGCAAATGTAATAATGCACTTTCGTTATATAGATGTAAAAAAAAGCAATTAGCATGAATTAAAATTTATCATTTTGAAAAAATAGGTTGATAAGGTTAATTATTCATTGTGAAACCGTAAATATTAAAATAATTTTAAATATTAGCTTAGCTTATTAAGATTAGTTATATTTTTAATAAATATACAGGATTTTTTTAAATAGTTGTATCTGGACCAATCTATAGATTTAAGGATTCAATAACATTTACAATTCATTGGGTATTTGTATTTGAAAATTTTAACGTTGTTTTGTGATCGATTATTGATTTTGATATTCAAACATATATTTTTTTAACTCTAATTACGCAAACTTTACATAAAATATTTCTTTATAATCAACACCTTGATATTATTATCTCTTTTGATAACATAATTATTACAAAAAAATTATGAAATTATTTACATATTATGAAATTATCACACTATTTTACACATGTTATTTAGGTATATAGAAATTAATTGGTTATTATTAGAAGGAGAAGAATTATTACTAGGTATGTTGCATTTTCTTTGAAAAACCTAAAGTTTCCTTAGATACCAATTTGTTTGTTTAATTACTTTAGCATATCAGCAAAAAATATTTTGAAAAAAAGGTAACAATTTACTTTGTTAACAGTAATTGTTTTATTTTCATTGTATTGTTATTTGTTCATATTACAAATCAAACAAACATGATATGAAAATATTGCTTTTCTCTTTGCGGCGATTTTTTTTCGGGTGTGTACTAAAATTGTTTGCCGGCTGGTAATATTCCGATACATCTTATTTTAGGAAAATATGTTAATGTATTGATAATATGCTCATTTTTTCAGTATCTAGAGTCTAGACTTACGAATTCGTATAGTATTTTGAAGGTGAGATTAATAACAAAAATGATTAAATCGAAAGTATTACATTATATTATTTGAATGAAGAATAGTTTCACAACTTTAACATATTGTTAAACACAGTCCATATATCAACATATTTATTTCCTAACACCCTATAATTTTCAATTTTGAAAAAACATGCAGAGTTCGTATTAGAACATTCTGTACGCCAGTATATCATGTAAGTCTTAGGAAACAAACCCGAAACACATGAAAGAAATCCCCAATTAGTGTTGTTATATTGTTTTAGTAAATCCCCGGCAAACTTCTTCCGTTCCCTTTTAATGCCATTAAACCACAAAATATTTCCAGTCTCTATAGGGGCGAATAGAGCGAATAGAGCCGAACTCCGGCTAGCAATTAAGGGAATTAAGCTTGCTTCTCTTTTATACACGAATAAAAAATATGTTGCTCAGATTGTTGCTAAAGTATGTTCGTGCATTGTATGCAAAATTAGGAAGAACATGCTGTATGATCAAATTATTAATTACAATATGCTGGAATTTATTTCGTCAGAATAAGATTATTTGTTATGAGCCTCATGAATATCGGAATTGGATGGATATCGACCTCTATCCCAGTTTGAGGGTTCGGGGGAAATATTCTCTAACAATGTTTAATTTCTCGATTTTACTCCGACATCGATAATAACTCGTTCTCGAGACTCAGCAAATTCGATTTCGTATTCCGAACCGGATCTTAAATAACCATCCGAGCAAAACGTATTTAATAATCTACAGTGGTTCTTCTCCTTTCGGCTCCTCGGCTCCATTTTTTTTATTGTACTTTTGCTGACTTATGACATTCAGGATCGGATTCAAGAAACTCTGACCCGATACCATTATCATCGAGCTCGCTATGGGAGAGGGTTTAATAAAAGCTCGCAAGGTGTGGAGCTTTTGACGATTACTTAACATGTGTTAACAAAAATAGGTAGATAATTAATTGGCCATAAATTAATTACCTATAGATGTGCTAATGGGGCGTCGAAAACAATGATAATTGAAATTATAGAGAGTACGTTATGCGATCGAACGCATCACCATAAACTCAAAAACGGGCGATTCGCCGATGCTTCGATGTTGATTCAATACACTCCTGCAATTCAGGAACTGAAAATTGAAATTGAACGGGTAAATATTGCTCGTGCTCGTGCTTAACACTCCACTTGTCGTAAATTCGATTCACCGGAGTCAACAGAACCGGACTTTACACACTTCAATACTCACACAATACACGTGATTCGTATTTAAATATATTATCTCTTTGTGGATTTGTGTTTAAAAATACATGTATTATAAAAGATGAGTCTGTTTTGTTGTATTTCTAAAGAAACGAGGTTGGGTTAGATTTTTGCTATTTGATTACTTTAAAATTCTTTTTTGTTCCTTTTTGGCTTTCTATTTGAAATATTTTAGGTCTATTTTTATTTAATTATTTAATGAAGCTGGTTTGCTCCTGGGTTCGGTTCTGTATTGATCAATCCCCGTATGAAAGTTACCTCAATATACCTGTCACATGCAGATAACGCTAGGTATAAGTTTAATTGAAAAATTTTACTGTTTAAACGACATTCGTAGAAGGGGTTGATGTCCGTTCGTGTAAATTGTAAAGGAAATTCCGTATAATGGGTTTATTTCAATCAACGCTTTATGTAGGTATACCAGTAAATTGAAATTTAAAGTTTCGCGTCGATCTGATGATTAATAACCAACACCGGAAGTATCGATGAAAGCCCGAATTTTAAACCAGATTTTCTTGAGGAATAGTAAATGTCTAGATTGCCAAAGCGAGTATTTAGAAAATTATTGAAACCCGTCCGAATGGATGTGACACTCGAGCACTTACACATCCGACCGGTCATTCCTTCCCGTCGAAACTTTTCTAATTACAAAAACCGGGGAACGTTGCACTCGCTCAGCAGAAGTAGAATTTTTAATTAATTTACCTTCGACGCGATTCTCTTTTGCGCGAACCGCCCGGAAAGTATTTAAATACTGACTAGGCTAAAATTTGTTGGGGAATTGTTCGTTCGTAACGAGTTTCAACTTCTCGCAATCTTTCAATTGAAATTCTATCGCCCGAAGAGAGCCGACAAATCGTTTAATTAGTTGATATTTACAGTGCCATTCGACCAGTCGCACTATACCTAGTTACCTAATTGGGCAAATAATTGATCAAACATATCATCACATTGAAGAAGAGAAGAGCCATATTACAAGAGAAGATCTCTCACTTTAGCAAATAATGGCTCGAGTATCAAGATGATTGCTGTAAGACCTCTAATTATTCGCTATAGCAGAAAATGACTATCATATAGGTAGATAATAGACTCCTTTAAATAGATAATAGACTCTCTACCAGGTATATCATCTTTTCTCTTTGATAAGATACCTAATTGATTCTCTTATAAGAAGAAAATCGACTCTCTTAGGTAAATAATTGCCTCACACTTTGTTAGATAATAAACTCTCTTAAACAGATAATAGACCTCCTTAAATAAATAATAGAGATCCCTTAAATAGAGAATAGACTCTCTTAAACAGATAATAGACTCTCCTAAATAGATAATAGACTCTTAAATAGATAATCGACTGTCTTAGGTAATAATAATTAACTCACTTAATTAGATAATAGACTTTCTTTTGGGTCACTCTTGGACAAGATAATTCAATCTCTTAAGTAGATAATCGACTCTCCTATGCAAGTAGACAATGACTTTTTTGAGAATGAGAAAATTTCTTCCGGCTGTCTTGCTTGCTCCGCAAGCTCGATCTGTCGGCTTAAAAGCCGATTAGTGAAGCTTTTTAAAATATTAAAATCGAACTTATTTATTGTTGTTCGGGACACAATCGAGCTTGCCGAATTTCGGCTACTTCGATTCACCTTAACCAGAAATCTATTATGGAAACTTCCGAATTAGGTACCGAACAACGTTGAAATATTTAAGAAGAACGAGAATTCGATTACGCCTTTTCGGCAACCCCTTTTATATCCTCATTAGGGGCTCATCAATATGCAAATACCGGGCGAAAACTGGAAAACGGGAATTTATGTAGCATTGGGAAAACCTTTTAATGCTTCTCTGGCTCTCTCTCTTTACGGGCGCTCTCGAGTGTTGTTGACTTAATGTAGTGAATTAATGTACATTTCTTGTCGTTTGAGCAATGTTAGATCGGAGGGTTGCGCAAAAATAAACTCAAATCATAGATAGTTTTATATCAAACCATTTTGCTTTCCATACAAAATATACAGGATTCTAAATTTAGTCCTTTTATATCAATTTTATAGTGCATTTTTAAGAGTATTCTTGACAGAAAATCTCGACACAAGATAGTAAACTTCTAATGCATTTAGTTCGATATTTCGAGATTTGACTGGGCAGATCTAGATCTACATATGCCCATTTTCTTCGACATCTGAGCGTGACAAATATACATAGCATAATTTTCTTTTGTATATCTATCGACTAAAATTTAAGAACACCGCTAGGAGGAAAATAAACCGGCCGATTTCGCGTCCGAAAGGGAATTCTTAAAAACAAGGAAATGCATTCAAATCGCGAGTTTACGATAAAACATTTGAATATCAACTGTGGAAGCTCTCCGCCGACGCCGCCTTCGTTAATTTATTAATAATGCCTTGTAAACTGATTGTAATTGTAAGTGCACCCGGTAATGCCTTGAAATCCATAGTCCATTCTATTACAGTCCATACTATTATTCATAATTCTATTACAACTGCATCGTTAAATCCGAGATTTTGGTACACTACGAATTTATTATTTGGTCGCTAATTAATTAGTTAAGTTGCTAATACATTAATTAAACGAACCAAAAAGACCTTTACCGATAACAAAGACAAAATCGTTAGCAATGCAAAATTTTGTGCCAACAAAACAATTCGACGAATTGTTCACAACATCAAAGTTTTCATCCAATTACTGAAATACAATACAACTCCAAACATTGTAAATTATCCGATTAGATCGAATTAAAATCGAGCAAATAAGTAGCCCTGTTAATATAACGAAATGTTAACAAAGCGATCGATATAGCGTTGATAAATAATTGAGTCCGC